GGAATCAGGAAATCTATGAGGTAGCGCAGACCATCCCCATGGTACGTTTTCTCCACCACGTCAAAAACCTGGCCCAGAACCGTAGCTGCTGTGGCCTCAAAGGGAGGGTAGAGTCCGGACAGGGTATTCTGGATGCACCTGTCCAACGATTCGGAGTCCTGTCAAGAGAGAGAACATTAATGGCACCAGGGTGTGGCATGGCCCAGGTAAGCCTCGGACAGAGCAGAGGTGACAGGACCCCAAGATACTGTGGGAAGCAGTGTGCCCTGTAAACTGAGCGCTTGGGCAGCCACTCTGGAGAGATTCCAAGGCTGCCCAGCTGATTAGCAGTGCTACCACAGTGCCCACAGCTGGCAGCATGGATTTCTCCTGGTGGTGCGCATGTATAGGTGCACAGAACAAAACTTATTCTGCACATGGTTGCCAGAGAGCTCTCCCAGTAGCCTCTGCCGCAAGGAGGCTCTGCAGTCAGAGAGACCTCGGATGAGGATCTGCAGGGGAATGGGAGTGGACTCTCCTTTCTTTCTAAAAACACAAATCTGGAGCGCTCGGTGAGGGCACGTCCATTATTCCCACGCTCCAGCACGGCCCCAGAGCCCACACAGAGGAGTCAGAACTCATCTCGCTAGCGGGCCACCTTCTGTGTCCCCTTCTGTGGGGTCAGTCCAGGGACATCAAGTACGTAACTCCATTTACACCCACGAGAGTGGGCTAAAACTTTCCCCCTCCCTGTAGAATTTCAGCACAATCCCTTTGGACCCCGCTGGTGGATCAGTGGTATTCCCTGCGCCAGACACTCCCAGCGCACAATCGGGTGCTGGCAAGACCACGTCAGTGGGGCCCGGCAGGTGAGAACAGGGCCTGGCATGAATGATAATAGTTCCCGTGACGTCTGGAAGCAGCGGGGATTTATCTCAGCAGCGGAGCTGGGCCCAGAGGCGCTGGCGTGACCTGTAGCCGGCTGACAACAGCTGCGTCACCCAGGCTGTAAATGTAGCTCAGTGGTGCGGTGACTTGAAGACGCAAACGTGGTGCCTTAGCACACCTAGCTGCAGCCAGGGCACCGTGGGAAGAACAGGGCTTTCCTTTGGGGCAGGTGTTCTCAGTTGGGTCTGACTCGCGCTCTCTCGTAGCGTTGCTGCTGTGTGGTACATGCAGGCCCTGTCTCCTCTGCCACAGCGTGGAGACTCACCCTTCCCTTGTGCCCTGCCCTTGCAGAGACTCACTTGCTCTGGGAGATGCACAAACACGAATCTGCTTGTTAGTGTGAAGCCTTTGACTGGCCTGCAAGCTCACCCGGCCCCTGGCTCACATTCCATGTGCCCCCCCGGCAAGGTTTGGTGCCCCCCAGCTCAGAACGTACGACCGGCTGACTGAATTTCTGCACAAAGCCACTCAAAGGGAGCACAGCCCCTGCTCTGGGTGTGCCTTGGCCATTCCTTAAAAGTCCAGCTGGAAAACAGACAGCCCCCAATCAGCCTTCAGACAGGAAATCAGGAGAAAATCCCCTGGCGACCCTCGCTCGCCCTGCCCAGCTCTGGGTGCACGCCAAGGAGCTACGGCCTTTCACCTGCAGAGCCAAAGACACATTCCGGGTAGGCAAAAAAGCCAAAATGACTTGGGTAGCTGCGACTTGGGGACACAGCTCCAGCCAGCGGGGTCTGAACAGCATGTTAGGACAGAGGGGCGCTGGCAGGGTGGGAGGGTGAGAAGTAGCCCCCACAGCAGGGAAGGGCAGTAAGTGGGCTGCAGGCCAGACGTGGTTCACCAGGGTTAGCCTCTGAAGGGCTGCCGGATGCTTTACTCACCTGCACGTCCGTGGATATGGCTGGGAACGGTGACTGGCGCTGCGAGTGGCCAGACCAGTGAACGTGTAGGTAAATAAAGCATCTGGCGGCCCTTCAAGGGCTAACCCTGGCGAACTGCTTATTGGCCACCCCTGACCACAAGGGCTCAGGTTGGACCTCCCTGGTCCGGCACCCTCGGCCTGACTGGTCCCGGATGAGGGATTTTGCTAGACCAGGAAGGTCAATTCTGGCCCACCCCTTGCAGCCCCCTTCCCCACCCTTTTGCCCCACCGGGCATCCCAGCTCCCCTGAGCAGTCTATGTGGGCCGTACGCTGGGCTTCCCACCCACCCCCCTCCTCATTCTGCCATCTGCCACCACTGAGAACAGCCTCTCTCCATCCTCTTTGGAACCCCCCTTCAGGTAGCTGAAGGCTGCTATCAAATCCCTCCTCACTCTGCTCTTCTGCAGACTAAACATGCCCAAATCCCTCAGCCTCTCCTCACAGGTCATGTGCTCCAGCCCCTAATCAGGCTGTGGCCCAGTGCCTCGCCTTAATTTGGTTTTAATTAAACCAAAGATTGCTAGCTAATCGTTCCCGAGTGCTTGTTTTTGAGCAGCAGCTGTCCCGACCATCCTGCACACTGTGCTGCAGCACTTCCAGGGCTGTCCCATCCGGGCCAGCCACATGTGGAAGTGATTTTCTCTCATTTCATTTGGTGGAGCAGCACTTTTCTCTGTGAGCTGCGTGATTCGCAGGCTTGTGGCTGCATGCCGGCTGAGGCGGGGGTGGAGCGGGGTTGTGGTAGCACATTGGACCAGCCCTTCTCTGGTGCTCCACTGAGTTTTGCAGCATGTAAACAAAACAGTCATAGGCCAGGTCTTCACTAAAGGGGAAGGTCGAGCTAAGATACGCAACTCCAGCTATGTTAATTACGTAGCTGGAATTGACGTACCTTCATTCAAGTTTCCATGCGGTCTTCACAGCAGGAGGTCAACGGGAGCAAATGGTCCCTTTGGCTTCCCTTCATCCTCGTGAGGAGCAGGCATACCAGTGCTGATGAGGGCACCCTCTGAGTTTGATTTAGTAGGGCTTTACTAGACCTGCTCAATCAAACTCCAAAAGATCGATGGCGGCAGTATCGACCTTCTCAGTGTGATGTTTGAGGTTATAGTGTGTGCTGGCTGTGTTGTTATTGTTGGGCAGTTGTGCTGATTTGTGCTGGGAGATTTGTGAGAATGGTGAAGGTGATTCTGCGTGCTGTCCTAAGTGACTGTGCATGTTTGGGATTCCTGTGCTGCTGGCCTGGGTGGGTGGTTGCGTTAATTTGGATCAGAAGGCTTTGTGCGAGGAGATTTGTGCTGAATTGTGTGGGTGGCAGTTGGGGGCGTGGATACAGCAGTTGGGCCAAATAATCTGCTGTCTGTGGCATCTCCCTCATACAACCAATGAAATTGTTGTGTGCAAGTTAGCTGTGGGCCACAGTGGTGAAGCACTCTTGGCACGGCATAGATATGTTAGTTACTGCCACTGTATGCTCCCTGGGCATAAACGGGGCCCCTTTACAGACCATCAAGGCCAACAAGAGAGCTCTCAGCCAAACTATAGGACTCCGATCCTTTCCTGAGGAGACTTGTAAGGAGATGCTGTAGCCGGTTGGATTTTTTCCCCTCCTCGCCAGCACGCTTGTGTCCTCGTTTGATTTCCTCCCATTCCCGTTAACGATAACCTTACACCTGTTCCCACCTCTGGACTTCAGCCCCATGCGTGATGCGCCAGGAGTCTCCATCCCCAAGGCCTCCTGGTACCAAGGCGAAGGAGACATTCCTGTTTGTGAGCAGCCTCCAGCGAGGGAAGTGAAACTTCACGGATATCAGCTCGGCGGCACCGCCAAGGCAGTGCATAAACTTTCAGTCAGACCCGCCTAAAGATGTTTGCTTAACATCTTTTCGCCAGAAGCATTGTCCCCTTTCAGCACGTTTTACGCCACAGGGATCAGCGTGTGCTAAGAAAGGGAGGAGACCCCATCAGCAAAATGGCTGAGCAGGGCCAGAAACTTTATCTTCGCATCAGCAAGCACTTATATCAATCAAGATTTGCGTTCCGTGATCAGACGCATTTCCCTGGCGCTGAAAGGCAGGAACGAGTTCCAGCGGCTAGAAGCTGGAGCCAGACAGAGAGGGCGAGAAGTCACTGGAACGAACTACCAAGAAAAGTGATTGAGCCTCCATCTCTTGAAATCCTCAGACTAGATATCTTTCTGGAAGCCCTGTCGGAGTACACAGGTGCCGGGGTGGGAAGGGAAGGGGTCTGAAATACAGGTCAAATCAGATGATCTGACAGGCCCTTCTTTGGCCCTAAACTCTGAACCATTCTGACATACTGATGCAATGTCACAATGCTGTAGTATCAATGTCACAGCGTCCTACAGCAATGCCCTGGTCATGTTCCACTAACTCTATGGAGGGAGCTGCTTGAGCACTGAGCCATGCTGTGTCACCCCAACAGGACCTATGGTCTCTAGTCAGAGTCACCCAACTTTGCAGCTAACACCTGACCCTAGAGTGCTCTGAACCTCTGGCCACGAGGATGGGAGCTCTCAAAAACAGGGGAGCTGCTGGGTGCAGAGAGCTCTCTGGATAACCTGCCCATGAACACATAATGGGACAAAATCCTTTGTTGGAATGTTTCATGACTTCTGTGGAGAGAGGGTTATAAAATCATGACGGAGGTGGAGAAAGTGAATAAGGAAAAGTTATTTACTTTCTTCCATAACATAATAACTAGAGGTCACCACATGAAATGAATAGGGAGCAGGTTTAAAACAAACCAAAGGAAGTTTTTCTTCACACAACACATAGGCAACCTGTGGAACTCCTTGCCAGAGGATGTTGTGAAGGCCAGGGACTTCATTTTTGAACCCTGTTGAACTAGATAAATTCATGGAGATTAGGTCCATCACTGCCTATTAGCCAGGACAGACAGGGATGGTGGCCCTAGCTTCTGTGTGTGAGAGGCTGGGAATCAGTGACAGGGGAGGGGGTCACTTGATGATTCCCTGTTCTCTTCACTCCCTCTGGGGCACCGGGCATTGGCCACAGTGGGCAGCCAGGGCCCTGGGCTAGAAGGACCTTTGGTCTGACCCCGTCTGGCCGCTCTTTATGTTCTAACTTGCTGGGAAAGAAAGACGTTGAGTG